TATTGCAATGACAATGTCTCACAGGTTGCTTTAGTGCAGTTACTGAGTTGCTTGTGGTCATCGCCAGGCAATAACCTGCACTGTTCTTAAGATGAGTTAGACCCCAAGAGGGGAAAATTATCAGCACTTCCTGGCTTGACCATTGGGGCATTTATCACAGTGACATTTCTTTCTGATGTGACTGTTTCTCCACTGCTGCCTCTGTCAATGCTCAGCTTTGACCTTTGATTATCTTTTCAATGGTTTGAAGAGTTAATTCTTCCTGTTCCTTTTATAATAATAAGTGGGTCCAGTCCTTTTTAAAAGTGGAAGAACTGGAGACAAATAATAAAAATTGTAAGAAAGTAAGAATTAAAGAAAGGAGTTTGGCTCTCAGGAGCCTGAGGGAAGGAGAAGCTCTCCCTGAGACCAGCCCAAGATACAGATTTTCAACACTGTCCCAAAAAGCAAACGACAAACAAAATACTATCTATATAAAAATGATACAAGAATTTCATTTTCAGAACTGTCCTCAAGATGATACTTATGTAGCATTTCCTCCAAAGGGAAACGATACCACCAGGTGATAATATCATTGATGATTTTATGCCGGTTATTGGTGAATCCCTAGAACTGATTACAGCTAAAGGAACAGCATAGAGCTGTTGAAACTGACCCCAAACTCTCTGCCGAGGAACAGTACCCTTGTACCCTAGAACACACTATCCAAAAAGCTAAAGTAAAAGAAACTGTGGTAAGATCTTGACACAATGCTCAAGGGTGGATATAGGAATTTCTTTGATAAATTTCAACAATACAGAATCCCTGGGTTCAAAGGCTTGCTCCTGTAGCTGATTTACTAGGGGGGAGGGATCCTAAAGGCTCTCTTATTTATTGTATCTATATTTGTTGTCTAAATGACTAACTTCATAGATATGCAGTTGGTTTAACAGAAAATAAATTTATGTATTTAACAAACATAATGGTGGCTTGAGGAATACAGAAAATTTCCTTGTATTCGGATATATTAATTGTACAAAATAATGAGTTTCTTTATGACGTTTTGATGTGTGCATGTCACTTACTGTGGTCATATTCACCGGCAGCTTTCTGACACGTGCTCTAGGGCAGAGGATATGGGGTAGAGTCAGGCGAAAACAGAGTAGGATATTAATGGTCTCTGTTTTTAGTGTCTGCTGTTTTTAGAATATTTAGTTAGCTCAGGCCAGTTTGTGGAGCCGTCTAGTTGAATGTCACATAATTTAAGGGTGAAAACTTCAGCTCCTATCTTTTGTGTTAACCTTAATTATCAGTTCTGGGAAGTTAGAGTGGCCATGCATATGACAGGTGGCGTGATCCCTTGCTTGGGAAAGGAATTATGTGTCTTAGTTTCTTGCCTCCTGTTTGTACCTCGTGAGAGGCAGATCGGCTCCCTGCAGTGTCAGTCACACTTGGAGACAGCAGTTTGCAGATGTCTGTCCCTTGGTTAGTACTTACACATGAGCTCCTGGAGAACCTCAAGAACCATTGCTGGCAGGTGCTCCGCTCATCTCTGCAGCTCTTCAGAGTCCCCGGAAGATGCTGAACTGCGCTGTTGCTGGACCCGAGGTAGGCTGCATCACCCATGCCTTATGCAGATAACCCGGTTCTTTTCTCTGAAGGCAGCAGTCCCTGACCTGAGTACACATTCCCTCTGCATTTACTCTCTGGAATTCCAGAGAAGAACCTGTAAAAGTCCAAGCACACACTAGGCAGCCGGATAGACACCCAGGGAAGGGCAGGGACTTTCATCATTCTTAAGTAACAAAATAACCTTATCACCTCTCTTTAAGGTACTTACCCTGTTGTGGGCTATGCTTCTTGGGAGTCTTATGGGGTGTCTATCAATAGCTACATGAATACAATTAATCAGAAAAAGATTAAAATAGAACTATGGTAAAAAGCCTTGGGAAAAAAGACGTTCATGTAGACTGTGGCAAAGAGGTGCCAATTTGTGCATGCAGATGGAAGAGGAAACTGTGGAGATTAGTCATATGACTGATTTAGAGAGCTCTTCCAACTGACTAGGTCAGGCCTGAGTGAAAATATATGAGCACCGAGGCAGGGGGTTTATCCTGATGGTAAGATGCAGACTTTAAACATTTCCTGCATGCTAACCTGTGAAGGATGAAATTGCAGGTACACTGCCAATGAACGTGTAAGACGGACAGCCATGAAAACGAGGTGGCCCTGCTGACCGTGTACACTGAATTCCCACATCTGCTGGTCTCTGCTTTGAATGTACAATGAACTGCTTGGGAAGCTTTCTTGACTCTGTTGTAGTAAGCACAGGGGTCCTGTGTTTGTCACAAGCTTCCGGTTGATGCCACTATGAGCTTGGTCAGAGGATCGTTTACTGAGTAGAAAGGCCAGCCTATTTAGCATAGTAACCAATGGATGGTTTTAAACAGAAGGGGACTAAAAGAAAGGTCAAAGCCTTGTTCTAAGATGCATTGTTTGTGAAGGTGCTGACTGTGATGTGTAGCTAGAGTTTCTTTCCTGCCTGGTCCCACAGAGATGTATGAACTATTTGTAAACTGTTGGCCTATGGCTAGGGCTTCTTACTGGCTAGTTCTCTCTTAATTATTAACCCATAACTACTAATCTATGTATTTCTACATGGCTTTATCTTACTGGAGAGCTTCCAGATTCCTGTCTTCCCCATAGCTACATGGCATCTCTCTCTGGTTGCTTCTTTCTCCTTCCTATCCCCTACCTTCTCCTGGTCTCCTAGCCCTACCTATGCTTCCTGCCTGGCTACTGGCTAATCAGTGTTTTATTCATCAACCAATAAGAGAAACATATATACAGAAGGACATCCCCCATCAGTCACGGGCTGTTGTGGTGAGGGGTCAGTCTTTCCTTCCTGGAATGGGTGTCAATTTAAACTTGAGTCTAAAGGGTGATGGGATGAGTAATCTTCATTGTCAAGTTGACTGGATTTGGAATCAACCAAGACATAGGCTTGTAGGGCAAGGGGCCTCTAGGTAGTTTCCGGAAGGGTTGACAGAATGGGGAAGATGGTGGCGCTATCTGGAGGAACCTAGCTGGTTATAAGGAGGTTGGATGAAAAGCTTTTGCCTTTTCCTGACTGCCTCCACCTCCTGGCGAGTGCATCTACTCTGTTGGTGCCTTAGCTTGCCACTGTTGTCTGTTGCTATTAGAACTAAGCTTCTTGGTCTTTCAATGTGGACTGAAGACCAGTGGCTCTCCAGGAATTCCCTCGACCTACAGTACCAGATTGAAGCTCCTTCAGAACTCAGCTCCATGAACTGAGCAACTACTGTGTTCTCAGCCTCCCCAGTGTTCAGACAACCATTGTTGGACTATCTACTGTAAGCCAAGCTAATGAATATTCTTTGCAATATATGTCAGTCTATCAGTTCTGTTCCTCTGGAGGATCCTGATAAATACAGATTGGGTTGGGCGGTGGTGGCACATGCCTTTAATCCCAGCACTTGGGAGGCAGAGGCAGGCAGATCTCTGTGAGTCTGAGACCAGCCTGGTCTACAAGAGCTAGTTCCAGGACAGCCTCCAAAGTCACAGAGAAACCCCGTCTTGATAGACCAAAAAAAAATTGCCTGGGGATGAGGCATTCCCTCTTTGTTTCCCGGCCACAACGGTATGAGCTTCTCCTTCTTGCCAGCCGGGCCTGCTAGGATGGACTGGCAGCTCTCAAACACTGAGCCCAAAGACCCTTTCTCCCTTCGGTTGTAAATGTCAGGCACTTTCTCACCAGCAAACACGATGGTCATGGGAAAAACCCTCTATTCTCAAGGACTTCATTTACCAAGTTTGCATATATGTGTCTGGGTCTTTCCCCTCTGGTTTCATTTCTGCTGTTTCACCAGTGCACGGAACATGGCAACGCTTGGGCGACTCATGGCTTGCTTGTGTGTTTACGCTGTATCGAGCTCCATAGTGATCAGATCCCTCAATAGTTGGGAATTTCACCAGCAAGATAATTTTAACATAGTATAGTCAGGTATACGAGGCGTGTCCTGAGGGGATGCACATAGCACAATCTTCAGCGACCCAGTGTAGGGTCTGAGGTGTGAATGCAAGTTCTGCAATGAAACTTCCAACTTACACGGAAACTTGCATGAGACTGAGTAACTCTTATAAAAAATGATTGTGTTATGTGGCTCTGCGGCTCAATGGATAGCACACTGGACTTGCAGTGATGAAAACGATTGTGTCGAGGTTGGAGTCTTGCAGGTCCAGAGCCTAATTATAATTTATTTTGGGGACTGTCTTTTGCCTCTCATTGGCCATTCCTTGCTCAGCCTTGTGTCTGATAAGGTATCCTTGTGACTATCAAGTGAATGTTTGTTGTATTAACTTAGCAGGCTTTCTCTAACTCTGAAACTGACATCATCATCCAGCACCTGAGGCTGAGAGCAGAGCTTTGCTGGCGTCTGCCTGCCTGCCGCTTCCAGCAGTATGTTTGCAGTGTATTTGGACTTCTGATCTTCTTTGTTTTGCTTCCATAAAGACATCACGAAATGACTGCTTTGTTGGAAAAATGATATTTGGGGAAATCAACATTGATGTTTCTGGACCATGATCATTTATAGTTTATTCCAGAATAACCTCTCCTTTTGATTCTCTGAAGTGAGTGTTGTTTTACTCCTTGACAAGCAGCTAAGCTTAGCAAGTCCCTGGAAGTCAGCTCATGGACCCTCTAACTCCCTAGAGGTCTCTCTTCCTGGTCCCTGACTGTCTGCCACAGGCCACCTCTCACCCACTCATAACATGCCTGTGCCCTTCCATCTGTGGGCGGCTTTCCTAGATGTTGCCATTCCTAACGTCTGGAGTGACAGAGGCCACAGAACAGAGCACTCATCAGTACTGGGTCCAGCCTGAGTACAACCATTTTCTCTCTAGCCCCGCCCACTGCATCATAAAAAGACAGGTAGCCCAACATTCTGGTTTGTGATGTGTAGAGGGCCCTTTAGTCCACTAACCCCTGGGGGCAGCAGTACAGTGGATACCAGAGGTTGAAGTAGTGACTTGTATTGGAGATGCATTAGAGAGAGAGAAGAGAGAGAGAGAGAGAGAGAGAGAGAGAGAGAGAGAGAGAGAGAGAGAGAGAGAGAGAGAGAGAGAGAAGCTAGGAGAGGTCTCCTGACCTCAGGGTAGGACCTAGGGAAGGTTAAGTTCTGGTGACAGGAGGACATGTGTTCCCAAGGATCGGTCTTCCACTTTCTGAAAACCAGGAGACTTCAGTATACTGGGGCCCATGAAGGATTGGTAAGACAAGCCTCTAGGCCTGCCCCTAGGGTTTATTTGGCAGTCCAGGAGATTAAATTCCTCAGAACTGTGCCAGCCAGTAGAAGGGGTCTGGGTAACAGGCAGCCTAGCCTGAAAGAGCTGCCTCACCTTTCTCGTGGCAAGAAGCCAGAGCATCTCCCACGGCTTACAAGCTCTGTTAGCGAGGGCCATTCCCCTGACCCTAAAGTTCGTCTGTACAACCTTCGGGGTGACTCTGTTGAAGGTCTGGGGCACAGGTGGACATTTGCTGGGCACATGGGTTTGCTGAAGACTGGACCCGAAGTAGTAACAGCATGGGAGGCCCAGGCGAAAAGGAGAACAGTGACATTGCTTAGCAAAGCCAGAAAGCAAACAGAAAAAGCCCCAAACCCAGGAGACACCAGGAAGTTCCTGGAGCAAGAGGTGGTTGTGAGTACCAAAAACCCAAGCGAGAAATGGCAGCCAAAAAGGAGCTTGGAGGATCTGAGGTGGGACCATCTGGGAGAAGCAGGGGACACAGAAGAACCCAGACAGCCACAGGAACTTTGCAGATGCAGCAATCACGTTCCTCCTCTTGAAGAAAACACCTTTTTGCAGGGCAAGAAGATCAAGCCCCATTCTAGACATCCAATGCAGATGCTGTGCCCCACATCGCTTAGAGAGGAGGAGCCTGGAGAAGAGCTGAAACCAGTGCCACCAGACAAGGACAAACTGAAAGACTTGAAAGCCTCCAAAGAAAGGGATGCACAACCTCAGTTCCTGTGGGAAGATACTTTCCTGGAGGGACAAGCAAGGGTTTTGGACCAGAATCTGTGGGCAGAAGCTAAATCCCAGTTCCTAAACAGGAGGAAGATGCAGGTCTTGGAGGTGTTGGCCAAATCTCATGATAAAGAATTCTGTGCAGTCAACACCAGAGGGAAAATACAGCTGTCTTTTCAGGACAACAAACAGGGTGTTTCAGGAAGAAACATAGTGAGGCATAAGTGGCAGCCCAGGGAGGAAGGCTGGGACCCCACAATCCAGGGGACCCCAGTCACCCTTGCAGTTCGGGCACACACTTATCTCCCCTCAGGGTTCAAAAGATGAGTGTGCTCCAAAGACCAGGCTGAGCTTGTCATTAGGTAAATCAAGTATTATGGATTCATAAGTGCTGTGCATCCTATGAGATTGGTTTATGTTTGGGTAGATGTGAATGCTAATTGTAAACATTGCAGCTTGGATGGAAAGGTACCCTGGGAGTCAGGAGTCAAGGAATATTACAAAGTCACTGTAAGTGTAGCGGCTTACAGCTCTGTTCCAGGGAAGGGCTTCCCCAGTGCAAGTGTTACAGCTCTGCTCAACTCCCCGAGTGGAGCTTCCCAGGGTGGCTCGGGATTGGTGGAATTTTTGTAGTCTGATTCTGGGGCAAGCTTATGGATTGGTGGGATTTCTAGCCCTGGTCCTGGGGTCAGGTCATGGTCGGGTGTTTTTTTCTTGGCCCTTTTCACCCTACATTCACCCACATGTTTTGTTTATTAATAAATGATTGGGGGGGCTGGAAAGGGCAGTGACATTATCATTAGTTCATTGGGTGGGGACATCCAGGTTGCTTGGAGCAACCCTGATCATCATTAGGGTGTAACTGGGTGCTGCAGGCCTCTGGCTCTGTAGCTAGGGGCTGGTAATCCGGTAATAGTAACTGTTAAGAGCCTGGTTAGAAATCTTTTGGATCTGTTGTTGGAGCAATCGAGACAAGAGTTTTATAAGGCAGGGTGCAACTAGTAGCATTAAAAAATGAAGGATTCAGAAGGGTAGCGTCCAGTTCCATATTAGACTATCAGTGACCCACTGGCCAGAGGTATGTTTCTTACATTTTTGAAGATCTATCTGGAGTTGTAGGATTTTATCATTTGCTGTACCCTATTGGTTAACATAGGAACAAAAATCTTCCCCGAGGAAGAGACAAAGACCACCTCTCTCTGTTGTTAGTAAATCTAATCCGCACTGATTTTGTAGTACTATGGCGGCCATCGAGTCTATTTGGCTCTGGATCCACCCATTGGATATCCTGGATGAACTGTGAGGAAAGCCCATGGTAAATAGCTAGGAAGGCAGTCAGTCCTGCCACTCCAGTGGTGACACAAGCGGTTATGCTCAGGGCTACTAGAAAGGGCATGACCTGAACTGCTCATTTGTCATGCGATGCTGCTATAAGCCCAGTGATGGTAATTGGCAAGGGCTCTTTACCAGGTGTCACCCATAGCTTTGGAAAAAGGAACACCAGGACACAAGTCCCAGACCACCTCGTGGGTAGGCAGTGGTATCTTTGTGTGCCACAGAGAATAGAGGCATTGTGAATGTTTGGACATGGGGGCTGAGTGGTAGTATCGAGGAGTATGGTATTATCGCAGTCTGTGGAACCCAGGGTGCCCACAAATATGTTAAAGTAGTCTGCAATACCGAAGAGAGACATGTGGGAGAGCAAAGGGCTGGTAGTGATATTTGGCTCAGAGCAATTGAGCAGCAGTGAGATGAGAGAATCTAATAAGACAAAGGATGAGGTCACAAATGGTGGTTGTGAGTTTGACCCAAGAGGGACACACAACCAGTCTTCTTCAAAGTGGTCAGGCAAAGAGTTGTTCAGTAGCTGATACACATAGGTTAAGGTCTGAAACAAGAGACGATATGACAGGGAGGTGGGATCAATATCATCAAATAAGGGTGATATTGGGGATGTAAGGATCTTTGGACCACTTCTGCCATATCTATACCTTGTGGTTGAGAAAGTGGACTGTGTACCCTGTGTTTTGAGCATGCCTGACAGGTGGCTGTGATAAATGCCATAGTAAAGATTATCAATCACTCCTGTCTCCCACCTGGGGTGCCATGGGTCCTTAATTAGAACATGAAAGATTTCCCAGTCTGCATAAAAGGTAGCGTGCATTCCTGAATTTGCATCATGTCTCCTATAGGATCACTAAGGGCAGTCTTCCATAAGTTTCTGGCCAGTGTCGACAGTAATCTCTAGTTGGATCACAGAGAAAGCATTCATTGGGGACAGTTGTTTTAGAATTTGATGTAGGTGTTATAGGGATAAGCATCTCTTTTTGGCAACCCGCTGGTGAGCTGTCTAGCCGTGAGAACTACTCTTAGCATCAATGGGGAAAGAAACTGGAAACATTCTTCACCACCCTAAATCACTCTTATACCTTTGGACTTTCATTCACGTGCCTTCTTATACCTTATTAAACAAGCATTGTTTTTTAATCTTATCATAAACCCCATTGCTTTGTTTTTTGTTTCTAAGACAGGAATTATCACACAAAAATAGAGAAAACAGGCACAGGGGCTAAGCCTCAGTGAAGGAGAGATGGATAAGGGAGTTATAGGTCACTGAATCAGCCTTTGCCAGCCTGATATAGAGCAATTTCCAGATCCTATTTGGACGGGATGTTGGTTAGAGGTGGTGGGTCTCTTGGATGATAAACATCCATTTGGAAGAGCTACCCTAGACAGGTGTAGATAAGAAGAAATAAAGAAGCAAGTTTAGTTATAAGAGATTTTTGGAATCGTTTGTACAGTGGCAGAAGGTGTCATTGAAAATTGAGCATGCCAGATTTGGCTATTTGAACTGTGCTGAGGTCCGAGCAAGGTTTTAATAAAATCGGTCCATAGAGGAAGAGGGGTAGGGTCACAAAATGAACTCCTTTGGAGGGAGTTTCTATAAGCTCCAAGTGGGAGCTGAGAGACAGGTGGGACAAGGTCACGGAGGCCCAGAAGGGCTTAAGGAAGCTGCAGGGCTTAGCAGGCAGCTCCCAAAGTGAAGAGGCCAGAAAACAGGGAGGGCTCAGATATCTTAACAAGAGTTGCCTACATGGTGGGGCCCTGGAGGCTGTAGCAGGCTCCAGGAGCCAGAGAGGGGACATCTACCAAGTAGGAGGGGAGAGAAGGATGGTTAGAGCAGGTGGAGGGAAGAAGCAGCTGGAGAGTTTCAACCAGATAGGATGGGTGGCAGAAGCTAGTAGAAACAAATGATCTGTAGACACCTTAAGAGTCATTTTGCAGTGTTGACACAAGGCATGGTTGAAAGATAGGTATAGCATCCTCTTCCAATGCTACCTGAAGGAGAGAGAGCTCGGGAGGTGGGTAGTGTTTGGAGATCCTTGTATGTTAGGAGATGGAACAGGTGGTGAGGAGAGAAGATAGTAGTGGGTGACCCAAAGGCTAACCTTTTTTTTTTGATTTGCATATAAGAAGTTTGACTGCAGCTAGAGTGTGCGGACAAAGAAAGAACCCACCCTTAGATAGTATGGCCCAGTTTTTTAAAAAATAAGAATGTGATGGGAACAAAGGAAGGTCCCAGTTGGTGACCCAGGACCATGAGGGTACATCCCTCTTTTTCTGTAACATGGAGAGAGAAGGGGCGAGTTAAACCTAGAAGATGTAGGGTACTCGGAAGATGGCCTGTTGAAGTTTAGAGTATAGGGATTGGGTACTACGGAGTGAACTACTGCCGAGTTGATAAGTCGGAGATGCTGAGTCAAGTGCAGGTTCCACTGGGTTTTTAAACTGTGAGTATGGGGGTACTAAAGCAAGAAGTGGGGAACAGAAGATTGTTGAGAGGTCAGAAATAAGAGTAAGCCCCCTCAGACTGTGGCGAGAGAGTGGCTATTGAACCTGGGTTATATTTGTAGTTAAATCATGGGAGGGGGTGATGCTTGGCTGTAGAGGGGTTTTGGGTGTCCCAGGCCCAGAGATCGACCTGAGAGGGCAGTAAGGGAAAAGATGTGTCACATTGTGTGGTTTGGAGAAGGAGGAAGGGAATGGTTGGTGAGCCTGGGGTCGAGCAGATGGGGAAGCAAAAGAAAGGCTCCCCCGTTCCCCTTTGTTTAGGAGAGGATGGGACAGGTTGACACCACTAGGAAGAAATGAGTAAGGGGGTGCTCTTAAAGATACAGCTAAGTGGTGGGGTTTGGGAGCCTGGTAAGGCTGACTCCTTATTCTGACAATAGAGGGACGAGAAGGAAAGATGGATCCCCAGAACCTCATCAGGATCCAATGGGCCCAGTGTCCAGAAGGAAGGAGATGTGTATCACGAAAAATAAAAGGACCCAGAGTCTGATACTGGGGTTCAAGCTTCAAGTTGAAGATCAGTAAGAGAAGCAAAGTAGCCAAACCAGTGGATCTTACCTCTACCAAGTTGAAATGGAATCCTGTTTTCACGAATCCTCAGAGGCAAAAGCTCTTAGTTCCTGTCCTCCTTTTATTCCTTTCTCTGCCCAGCCATATCCTTATGTCTCCACCTCTCTAGTGCTGGGATTAAAGGTGTGAGCTCTGCTACTCTTTTGGACTGATTCACTCTTGTGTAGGCTAGGGTGGCTTTGAACTCAGAGAGATCCATCTGCCCGTCTCCCAAGTCCTGGGATTAAATGTGTGTGCCATCACTGCCTAGCTTCTACAGCTAACTAGTGTGGCTGGCTTTGCTTTCTGACACTTCAGGCAATGTTTATTAAATCATACATACTTTATCACCATAGAGATGGATCACCTGATATTGTGATAATTATACAAGGCTCCCTGTTGGAGAAGGGGGTGGTAATAATATAACTATCAGAACAATATTTTGACTAATGATAAATAATTTATAGGAAATTTACTCATTTACCCAATGTTTTATTATGAAGTTAATTAATTAACTGAGTAAATTAAACAATTTAAGCTCCATTATTCTGAATTTTCTGGAAGTATTATGATGTCACCTAAGCTAAAAAGAAAATATGCTGAATGATGGTGGTGCAGGCCTTTAATTCCAGTACTTAGGAGGCAGAGGCAGGTAGATCTCTGAGTCTGAAGTGAGTCTGATCTACAGAGTCAGTTCCAGGACAGCTAGGGCTACACAAACCTGTGTTGTTTTTTTCCGGTTTGTCGAGACAGGGTTTCTCTGATTGCTTTGGAGCCTTCCTGGAGCTTGTTCTATAGACCATGTTGTCTGAACTCACAGAGATCCGCCTGCCTCTGCCTCCCGAGTGCTGGGATTAAAGGCGTGTGCCACCAACGCCTGGACAAATCCTGTCTTAAAAGAAAAAGAATATGCTGTTATGGAATTTACTTAAGATTTGTTTTTTATTTTTTGTGTA